CTTCCTCAGTCCCAACCCAAACACCCTGAAGGATGGGCCAGGAGCAGGACATAGAAAGCCCCAGGTGAGTACAGGCCAGGAGGCGGATCTGTAGAAAACTCAAGTTTCCCTTTTGGTTTCCAGAATCTTTAGTGAAGTCTCTTGGAAAACATCTGCCTAGTAGGAACTGTCCTAATTAGATCCACAGAAGAGTTGCCAAAGCCAGTGTAAGAGAGAACAGCAGTCCCCCGCCACACCCCAGCCCCTGAGCAGGCATGCCAGTGACCTTGTACTTAGTCCCACAGGAAATGGAATCAAGGCTGAGAAGTTCCTGGCCCAACCTAGACCTTCATTCCTCATTGCCAAACCTGACAATGTAGGCTTGATGTGATTAAAGGACCCATGTGGTTCCTAACAGAAGCTGTATGACCTTGGGGAAGTTACTTGACGTTTCTGGACCTCGGTTTTCTTAGCTATAAAATGGATAACAATAGCACCCATATCGTAGAATTGTTGTAAGTATTATATGAGTTGGTGTTTGTGAAATTCTTAGAGCCATATCGGGCATAGAGTAAGCACTGTATACACATTTGATGAAATAAAAATAATCATTAGTGTGTTAGTATATATTGTATTTCAGACAAATCAATACAAAATTGATGGTTATTAGCTAATAACAGGTATGATAGGCAGAATTCGAAGATGCCCCCCAAATTCTAGTTCTCTTATGTATGTACTTCTGCCAGTTATTCAATAAAACACTAATCTAAGTGCTGATTTGAAGTGATTTTGCAGATTAATCAAGGTCCCAAATTAGTTGACCCAAAGGGTAGGATATTATCCAGGTGGGCCTGACCTAATCAGTTGAGCCCTTTAGAAGCATAGAGATTCTTCCAGCTGGTCACAGACTAGAAAGTCAGGGAGATGCATTTCACCTGGCCTGCAAGACAGCAAACATCCATGCTTAGAACTTCCTATGGGGAGGGCCTGATGGCAAGAACTGTGGGTGGTCTCTAAATACTCAGAGAAGTCCCCAGCTGACAGCTAGAAGGAAAACAGGGACCTCAGACCTACACCTGCAAGGAAGCAAATTCTGCCAACCAGTGAGCCTGGAAGAAGACACCCCTCCCAGCCCCAGATGAAAACTGTTGCCCTAGCCAATACCTTGATTTCAGCCATGTGAGACACCCCCAGCAGAGAATCCAACCACCCCATGCCTGAAATTCTGACCTACAAAAACTATGAGATAATCAAATTTTGTGTTGTTTAAGCCACTAAGTTTGTGATCATTTGCTATACAGCAATAGAAAACTAACACAACTAGCAAATGCGCAGACAATTTTGTGCAAAGCCTAGGCAGCCTCTCCTCCACCCTACATTTCAGGGAAAGATTTTGTCACAAAGTCAGTCCAAAATACTCAGTTCAAAAAAAAAAAAAATTCATTTGCCATGTCAGGCTTGCTCTCATGGGAAGGCATTGTTCTGTGCTCACCAGCATCACTGGTAGGGCAAAGCTGACCCATCTGTCCCAAGAGGCAGTGAGTCTGGGGCCTCCCAGGCTGGTTCATGTGACTGGAGAAAGGGAAGTGTGATGTCCAGGCCTAAACTTGGCATAGCTTCCTGGTGTCACGCCAGGACCTCTGACCTACAGACTTGGCCCCACCTCTACTTTCCAAGACCTACCAGGGGATTAGGCAGGGGCTTTAGGACCCAGAGACCAAATCTCTGGGATTGACTGAAGAAAAGAGAAGGCAGAGTGTGTACCAGTGAGGAGCTCTAGCTTGTGCATTGAACTCTGATTTCAACACCTACTGCCTGTATGACTTTTTCCAAGTTCCTTAACCTCTCTGCACCATCAGCAAAATGAGGATAAGAACTGTGAGGGTTTCAGGGAAGGTTTATAAATCACCAATGCAGTGTGCCTAGCTTTTAGCAAGCCCTCTAGAATGGGTGCTGTTATTTAGCTGCTTTTAAAGATGCTGATCTTGGTCTTAAAACCCTAATGCTAGGCTTTCAACGTATTATTAATATAAAGGCCCAATCCTGTGCCCTAGAATAGATAGCTGAACACATCTTGGTCCCTCATTTCTGAGGCCCTAATGTCTGCTTAATGGCTGGCCATGCCAGCCTGGTTCAGAGTATCAGCCCATGTCAATCAGCCCCATCCTGAATCCCAAAGAAATAAATCCTTTTTTTCCTGGTCCCCTCTTGCTTTCTTTTTTTGAGACAGAGTCTCACTTTGTTGCCCAGGCTAGAGTGAGTGCCATGGCGTCAGCCTAGCTCACAGCAACCTCAATCTCCTGGGCTCAAGCAATCCTTTGCCCCAGCCTCCTGAGTAGCTGGGACTACAGGCATGCGCTACCATGCCCAGCTAATTTTTTGTGTATATATGTATTTTTAGTTGGTCAATTAGTTTCTTTCTATTTTTGGTAGAGACAGGGTCTCGCTCAGGCTGGTTTTGAACTCCTGACCTTGAGCAATCCACTTGCCTCGGCCTCCCAGAGAGCTAGGATTACAGGTGTGAGCCACCACACCCGGCCTCTTGCTTTCTTCTTTCATTATAACATGAATTGTGCTAGCGATGTGCACCAACTAGCTAGCATTTCTACTGAATAAAATCAAGGAAAATGTAGTAAAATGACAATATGAGACTGGTCAACATTAAATATATGTTAAGTTTGAAATCTAAAACCAGACCAAATGATCCTCATTTTTAAAAGATGGGTTCACCAGGCTAAGTTTATGTCCATCATTCAAGAAGGTGGAGTCTATTAAATGTCACTTAACCAGCTTTGATGACAGAATTTATGAGGGTGTGCCAGATTGGAATGACAAAGCATTCAAAGGTATATGCCACTTATAAATATAACATCTAGATTCATAAAAATAGACTCCCTATTTAAATACAATCTTCTGAGCATTGCTAAGTGAGGTACTTTGAAATTTTCCTAAATTGCAATGAGAGGTGGTGGTGGCATTTTTCCCATTTGCAGGATGACCATCTATTATGTGGATTTTCATATTGATTAATTGCCCAGAATATTTAAGAAGAAAAATGCTGTTCTAGTAATTGTTACAGTCGTAGGTGAAACTCAACGGATTTGACTGAAGGAAGATTAACATAAGCAAAGGTCTGTCATGCTATTTCTTTAAACTGGTGTTTTCAAAAAGGAAACCAGCAAAATGCCTATAGTTCCTCACCCCTTAGCAAATGATTCTCAGACTAGAGTGTAAGATCCAGGGAGTCAAATATCTTTGCCTATGCTGTCCACTGTTGCCACCCTGGTGCCTAGAATGATGCCTGGCACAGATACAGGCACTTGCTAAATATTTCCTAAATAAATGAATTAAATGAGTTAGCAAGTGGCAGGATGCTGATGTTCATTAACTGTCCAAATTTTAAGCAGTAAATGTAAACATGATCAGATTAAGAACTAAAAAGAAAAAAAGAACAGGAGGTGAGGTTCTGTAAAATCACATTTGAATTATTGGGTATATTGGAAGAGAAGAAGGAAACCTTGTGTCAGTAGAATCTATCACTACAAAGTTTTCGTTCTTGAATGGAAATTTCCAGAGCCTATGTTGTAAAGCATTTTATGATGGGTCCTTTATGAGGAACACCAGTTTCACTGAAGTGGCTATGTGGCAACAGTGCCATCTGCTGGGGAACTGGTTGGGCATTTCTAGAAAAATATTCTGGAGTTTTTTTCATATTGCAAATTCAATTTAAATCACAGAAAAAACATACTGGAAATATATTTAGAGATCATCTAAGCCAGATGTCATCTTACAGGTAAGGATTTGACTTAAGTAGCTACAATGTTTTCTTTCTACTGATGCAATGGAGCCCCAAACATCTCTCAGAGAGCTAACTGAAACTTACAGCCATCGTACTAAATTACATTACAGGTTTCCTGTAAATCTGAAGCTGAGAGGCAGTTAAAATCCATTCATCGAGGCTCTAAAGAGCAATGTCCAATAAAAATCTCTTCAAGGATGGAGCAATGGAACCTTCTGCAGTGATCTATATCTGCACTGTCCAACACAGTAGCCACTACTGTTTACAGCTGCTTGTGGTTATTTAACTCCTGAAATGTGGCCAGTGGTGCTTAGGAAATGTGGCTAATGACACCGAGGAACTGCATTTTTAATCTTTTCTAATATTAATTAATTTACATTTCTTAAATAGCCACATGTGGCCAGGGCATGGTTTCTCTGGGCACTATAGTATTTACACTTTGGACCGGATAATTCTTTTTGTCAGGAGCTGTCCTGTGAATTGTAGAATGTTGTACAAAAGCGCTGGCCTCCACCCACTGGATGCCAGTCCGTTATGACAATCAAAATGTGTCCAGGTATTTCTGAACATCCCTGGGTGGCAAAACTGCCACTGGTTGAGAACCACTGAACTAGTAGCTACTGTACTGGGTAGGGTTGGTATGAGGGCTAAATTAGATGATGCATAAAGTGTTCCTTGTTTAGTGCTTGGCGTGGGGTAGATGTTCATAACAATAGCTGTTATTTTAGACATTCTCTTCCCAGCAGGGAGCAAAAAAGTCTTCATGCCTTCTAATTAATAATACAAAAGTACCCAGTGAGCTTCTCTTAAAAATAAAAATCGATTCAGCTCTAAGAAACAATGGTGATATAGCACATCTTATATTTTCCTGGTTAGAGCTGGAACCCATACTACTAAGTGAAGTATCCCAAGAATGGAAAAACAAGCACCAGATATATTCTCCAGCAAACTGGTATTAACTGAGTAGCACCTAAGTGGACACATAGGTGCTACAGTAATAGGGTATTGGGGAGGTGGGAGGGGGGAGGGGGGCGGGTATATACAAACATAACGAGTGAGATGTGCACCATCTGGGGGATGGTCATGATGGAGACTCAGACTTTTGGGGGGAGGGGGGGAAATGGGCATTTATTGAAACCTTAAAATCTGTACCCCCATAATATGCCAAAATAAAAAAAAAAGAAGATTAAAAAAAATAATAAAATAAAATAAAAAATAAAAAAATAAATAAAAATCGAAATGAAAAAAACTAGCCAACCTGTATAAACGCAACTTTATTTGAAAATTCCAATGGCTACAACACTCAGTAATGTTTTCCTGTTTTTTGGGAATCCATCCCCCTTGGTGCATTTAATGATGAAGGAGAAACCGCTTCAGCTCTTCCGGGAGAATGAGGCCAGTTATCTTATGATGCTGCCGGGTTCCAAAGCACTTCCGAATTCGAAGGCGGCATAACTGCATCAAAGAAGGGGGCCCTGGAGAAAGATCGCAAGACAAAGCACACATTGGTGTCATTGATCTAAGACTTCTTCTCCTTTCCTTTCTTTTTTTTTTTTTTTAAGCATACAAGATATAACATTGTTATAAGGAAATAATATGGTACTGTTTAAGACCATTTTCTTTTTTTTTTTTTGTAGAAGGCATTTTTAGGTCATTTTCCCTCTTTTCTGATATCTAATTGAAATGAGCTTGTTAGGTTTTAATTTAGAACAGGGCGAAAGAAATTTAAAGCTTAGCCCCACTAAGGGAGGCTTAAGAAAGCTAACTCGGGAATTACACAGCTACACAAAAATTCTAATAATGAAAGTAACATTCATGTTGAATGGTGTTCTTGTCTTTCACACCTTAAAAAATAAAGGCATAGTTCCAGATGCAAACACTTTTATTTTGTAATTACAGCAATTTTAAGGTCTTCAAATATAATGAGCTCTCAGTGAATCATCAATGTATTTTATATTAAGTCATGTTTGGTGGGGTTTTTTTGTTTGTTTTGTTTTTGAGACAGTCTCACTCTGTTGCCTGGGCTAGAGTGCTGTGGCATCAGCCTAGCTCACAGCAACCTCAAATTCCCGGGCTCAAGCAATCCTTCTGCCTCAGCCTCCCAAGTAGCTAGGACTACAGGCACATGCCACCATGCCCGGCTAATATTTTCTATGTATTTTTAGTTGGCCAATTAATTTCTTTCTATTTTCAGTAGAGACGGGGTCTCACTCTTGCTCAGGCTGGTCTCAAACTCCTGACCTTGAGCAATCCTCCCACCTCGGCCTCCCAGAGTGATGTTTGCTTTTATACTCTGTATTCAGAGCTATCCCAATACTTCAACTCAGAGGTGAAGAGCCATCTAGCACAAATCTTGCATGGGGAACAACCAGGAGTTTACATTTCTGGACGGTGGTTCTCAACTGGGGACAGGTCAGGTGAGGGAGAAGTAGGAGGAGGTATTTTGCTTCCCAAGGCACATTTGGCAATGTCTGGAGACATTTTTGGCTGTCACAACTTGGGGGGAGGGTGCCACAGTGCACAGGTCACTCCCCAACTGGCCCAAAATGTCAATACGGCCAAGGTTGAGAAACACTATCATAGGGTAAAAGAATGGGGAATGACTTTCCAACCACTCTCCCTGTACCAAATTGTAATGGGAATTCTTTTTTTGGTTATTAAAAAAAAAAAAAAAGCAAGGCCGGGCATGGTGGCTCACACCTGTAATCCTAGCATTCTGGGAGGCCAAGGCAGGAGGATCGCTTGAGGTCAGGAGTTCAAAGCCAGCCTGAGCAAGAGCAAGACCCCGTCTCTACTAAAAATAGAAAGAAATTAATTGGCCAACTAAAAATATATATAGAAAAAATTAGCCGGGCATGGTGGCGCATGCCTGTAGTCCCAGCTACTCGGGAGGCTGAGGCAGGAGGATCGCTTGAGCCCAGGAGTTTGAGGTTGCTGTGAGCTACATTGACGCCATGGCATTCTAGCCCAGGCAACAGAATGAGACTTTGTCTCAAAAAAAAAAAAAAAGCAAAGCAAAACCATATACCCTCAAAAATTCCATAAAGCAGAGGCCCTCTATCCAGGCTGCATTTTAGGGTCACCTGTGGTGGGGGGACATTAAACTACATAATGCTGGGCCCCCCCCCAAAGAGGTTGCTTCGATTATTGTTGGGTAAAGCCCTAGCTTCTGGGTTTTTTAAAGGCATGTGACCCAAGTCATTTGATTGTGCAGCCAAGGGATTGAGAATACAACAGAAAGGATACTGGGGCCTCTACTCCTATGGCATCGCCACAAGCTACAGGATAACCCGCTTTATGTAACTCTCAGGTGACAGAGAACATGGAGAGGTGGAAATAGACACAAATACAATAAAATTAATACATGCAATATTTTCAATCAGGCCCTAACAGAAGGGCCTTGCAGGAGTAAGGCATCTCCCAGATTATGTCCAGTGTACTCAAAGCATAGATTAATGAACTGCAAAAAGTACACTGGGGGGAAACTGAACTTAATCTAACCTCACTAAGGAATGTTGAAGGATGTGACTAATCATCTGTGCTAGATACACTGTCAGGGGCAACCGTAGGTGGTACTGATAAAGCATTATGAAGAATAAAATCTCAGAGCAAGCCCGATAGAGAATTATGAAAAGCAGGATATTAGAGTAAGCGCAGTGTAACTACTGATGCCAACGGAATAGCTGCTGTTTACTGCAAATAGGACAATGTACAACAACTGTAGCTCGAATTCCAGAAAAAACAGAGCTGGAACTCCACTACAGCTTTGTAGCCGCTCGCTGGCACCTGCAAACATTCACGGGGTTTGCTTTGCTCAACAATAAAATCAGCTAAGTGCATATTAATGAATTGGCATATTCCTTTGGGCCTTGATTTCTTCTCCCTGCCCCCAGCAACACTCATGATGCTGTCATATGGCCAAAGCTCAGTCGTGGGGGGAGGGGAGTGACACCAGGGCTGCAGCCGTGCCAGGCTGAGTCATTTTGAGTTTTCACTATGTGCCACGAGGAAATGCTGTGTTAGATGTTTATCAAGGGGGATGGGGCGGTAATGGTTTTGAAATCCTTTCTCGGTCCCTACAAAGAAGGGAAAATCCCCCACTTTCGTAGTAACACCTATGTAAAGCCCAGCTCAGAACATGTTTGGGTTTCACCTAACATTTTCCTGTCGCCGCACCATTAAGAGAGGACAGTAATTGAATGAATTCCCTCCCCCAGGTACAGAGAAACAAGTGGATGGAAGCAAATGAATTGCTGTTAAGTGAAACCACCCACGTTCTGAAGCCGATAGATACACCCTACATTATGACTTTAGGAGGATCTGAGGCACTTTTGCCTTTGTAGGTCCCTTTCCCAATTAAAAAAAAAACAATTAAAAGTTGCATTTTACAACTGTGTTGGTATAAACATGAATATAATCCAAGTTGAGTTTTCGTTTTTCCTTCTAAATGTAAAAGAAATTAAGACATTTCTGTGGGTCCTGAGGCACTATTCCATCTATGCCCGATGAGGAACCCAGCCCTGAATATATACATAGACTTTTTTGAAAACAATGGATCATTAAAATGCAGGTAAAATTGCCCAGTGATTATCCCACTGATTAACATAAAGAGGTCTCTATTGGACTGTTTCTTGTGCCTGGGACTAATCTTCCTTAGTCTGCCCAGTTAGCGCTCAAGAGTGCACGCCATGCCGGGCATGTCCCAGGCAGGGGCTTGGCTGCAAGTACCCTGGGGTAGTGGGAGGAGGAAGAAGATGGATTGTTCAGCCCACTTGCCAGTTCTGCCCAGAGTCAGCCCTACTTCTCAGCATATGGGGAAAAAAATAACCAGATCGCGTGACATCAGAAACCTTCTGGCAGGAAGGCCTGCTTCCAAGTCCCATAACCCCTAAAACCTGGTAACAGTCCACACTCTGGTCAGAAAGTAGGAACTGAGCTGGCTGCCTAATTGCCTCTAGGGCAATTAACGATTGCAATCAGGCGTGCCCCCAACCTGAGGGGTCTTTGCTCTTCAGCCCCGCCCACCCTGGACCCCAAAGCCCAAGAAAGTAGCTCTATTCCCATACACACCATTCCAGCATGATGTTTAGTTGTTTGGGTAAGGAGTGTCAATTCTTACTTATGCAGGAGAGTGTAGATTTTTCGCTGGCTAGCTTATAATAGTATTATAAATGTCTCTGGATTGGTGTGATTCATCAAAGAAATATCCTAGCTGTATTTTAAGCCCAGAAACCAAATGTCCAGTAGTTTGACCCATCTGCGGAGCAGTAAGATATCCTGGGGCCGCATATAACCCCAAGGAGTCCTCTGCTGAATCATTCTAAGTCATGTTTTAGATCATTTTAATATTAAAATTTTGAAACAATATGTTAACTTTTTAAAAACTGGCTTACTCCATATGTGAGTATTACATCTTCCCAACCAGCCTGTCCTCAACATGCCAAACAGCAGGATGGTTATTTACTATAATACATAATTAGGACTGTACCTCACCGAATATTAAATTATCTCAACTTCCCCAGATTTGGTGATGGCAGAGAATGATCTTTTATAGGACTGGAAGTGAGAACTCAGTAAGTACCTGCCTCCTACTAGATAGAGCCAGAAAGGAATCTCTATGGACTAGGGCTTAGGTTAGAGCAAAGGAGAAGCACCTTCTCTCTCCAAGAAGAGCTGGGCCAGGGGGCTCTCCGGAGGCACCAGGTCCATAGGACATTTGCCTTCGCCATTCTTGGCCTGGGTGTCTGCTCCGAAGTCCATGAGCAGGCTGGCCAGCTCCTCGCTGCACGTCCTCGCCACTACATGAAGAGGAGAATCCAGACCTCTGCCTTGGTTCACGCTTGCTCCTAAGTAGTCACAAGAACAAAAGAGAGTCAGCCAAGACACAGAGACCAACCATCCCCCTTCTCAAGGGACGAGGGACGGAGCCTCAAAATTCCCTAACAAAGGGGCTCCGTGGCAAGTACAGCAATTCTGAGAAAACAGGAGGTGGTGTGATTCCATTTCATGATATGGGGAAAACCCCATTTGACCACGTGACTGAATGTACGGCATGAGCTCTATAGAGTATGAAGTTAAAATCTTGCCTTTGAGCACTATACATAAGCCTGATGCATACAAAAAAATTCCTGGTGACATGAAGGCTACACATTCATTATTAATGGAGCCTAAATATTAGTCAGGATAGCCCAAGAGTGTGGCTAGATGGTGCTATCCTGTCTACACCAAGCAGCCAAGTTCACAAAGTGAGCAGCCACTATAGGACTGAAAACCTGGGACTTGAGAGTGTGTGATTTGGCCTGTGAAAAACAACCAGCTCACAGGGGCATCTCCTAGATTCGGATGTCAATCCCAAGATCACAGGGAAGGTTGGAAAGTTCTCCTCTTCAGTAGTAAGATGGATTTCTAGGACCATCCCCATCTAATTCCACCCCTTACACTCTTAACAAATCCCCACCCCAGCCCAGATCCTGGCTCTTACTGTGATATGTGGGGACATGTGGCTTTGCCTGAGCAGTCCCTCTAGAAAAATGAAAATCTATGTCCACTCAACACATGTTAACTAAGTTGGTCTTGTTTAGTTCTTGACTTCGTAAGGATGTCAAACATGGCCCTTTCCTGGTTAGGAGACTAAAATCTATCTAGGGTGCTGGTGGGTGAGAGTGGGGGGGCAGGGGGAGGGAGAGAGAGAGAGATTGATTGAGGGAGCAGAGAATGAATCTCTTAATTCATAGCAATGGCTGCCAAATGAGTAGAAGGCAATAAGGATTATGACAATATTCAGTAGTGGGAGAGATTACTGGAGTCTTAAAGAATAAATAGGATGCAGATAATTAAAGAGGCGATGAAATGGTCTTCCACATATTGAGATGGGGTCTGAACAAGAACAGGGAGGTGAAAAGGAATAATGGTATATTGGCCTTTTCAAGGAAAGTATAATATTTAAAATGGACTAAAAATGGGTCAAGTTCAATTTCTAAATTAAAGAGAACTGGTGAAGAAGGTCCCAAATAGGAAGATTCAACCCTGATCCAGCCAGCAGCTTTGCAAGTTATGTAGGGCCTAATAACATGATTGGCCACAGGGAGGGAGGCAGAGGGAAGGGAGGCGAAACTAGTCATCACTGAGGACAACCCTGGGAGGAGGTATCATCATCATCATCATCATCATCATCATCATCATCATCATCATTACCCTCATTACAAGTGAGAGAACTAAAGCTCAAACAGTGTGCAATGATCTCGCCCAACACCATTGCCTGCACTTGTTCCTCTGCTATAACAGAAAGATCTTTAAAATACATTTAATTTCCGTTTCATTTTATTTCTTTGCTTTTATTTGCTTTCTGTTTTACCTGACTCCAGAAGCTTTCTGGCACAAGCTATCTGCTGGTTTTCACAAGCCACATAGAGCGGAGTGCCCAGGTGGCTGATATTATGGTCAATGTTGCTCCCATGAACCATAAGGGCCTCGACACACTCCACATGGCCTGCAGGCAGAAGCAGGAGAAAAATAGTTACAGCACAAGTTCCCTTAGCTAGGAAAACAGCACCATCCCCATTTTGTGTGTGTGTTTAAATTTGCCAGAAACTCATGCAGGGGACCAAAAGCTATTTCCTTTATCAGGAATGATTTTAAACGATGCCATCAGCTAATGGATTGACTACAAGATATGATCTGCAACAATGGGTGAAACCCCACTTGAGATCACTAGCCACAGTAAGAAACCAGCAACCATTCACCTTTTTCAACTGTTTGTGGCTTTGTAGTTAGTCTGAATACAGAAACTTTAGTGAGAGTTGGGGAGAGGTATGGAGGAACAGGGACTGAAGGTGGCCTGGAAGAAGAAAGAGCCAAGTGTGTGCCACAGGACAGGAAAGGAAATGTACAGCCTCACCAAAGGCAGGACTGGGAGAAACAGGCCACAGTGGGCACAGGGAAGGCTCAGAAGAAACTGCCAAATCCAACATGAGCAGTCTGGCAAACTAGCAGAAAGCTGAATCCCTCTTCCTTGGTCCAGAATGTTACCCTTCAACATTGCTTCTTTATGTTTCTCTTGATAAACCATTTTAGTTCTATGCATCCAGTGAATTTGATGAGTTAGTATGGTATGTTCTCAATAAATAAATATCAATGCTTTGGGAAGTAATTATAATATGGGTTGGTCCAGTCAAATGGAAAAATCAATCTGCAAAAACCACTGAGGAAATATTGATAGAAAGCCCTCGGGCAAGGTATGGTCATTATGATGATGGTGATAAACATCAATGAAAAACAAAACTTGCAATTTTATTTTTTTGTCTCAGAGTTAAGAATATCAGGAAAACTGTGGCTTTACAAGAAAAATTATCCCAAACTGTATAAAGCATCTTTATAGTTCCCAAAATTGAAAGTTTGTTTCACTTGACAAACCTAAGTGGCACTGAGATAATATTCTTTAAAGCCCCTAAATAGAATAATATAATTTGTTTTATAAAATAACTTCATTTGTATAAGATCACGGATATAACAATATAGTCCACAAATGCTGATGGATAGTTTGCTATGTGCCAGGCCCCTGTTCCAGGAAATGTAGTGATGAACAACAATATTCCAAATATTCTAGAAGGGAGGCTCTCAAACTTGCTGTGCATCTGAACCAGCTGGAAGGCTTGTTAAATAAAACGTAGACAGCTGGGCCCCACCCTCAGGGTTACTGATTCAATGGGGGTGGGAGCAGGGCCCAAGAATCTGCATTTGCAGGCGAGTGTCCTGTTGATGCTTCTAGTCCTCGGACCCCAGTTTGAGAACTACTGCTCTAAAATATGACTCCTCTTTCCTCTTTCTTTCAACAGTAAGATATCCCTTGAAGGAGTGGGTGGAAAACTGAAAATACTCAACATATTTACCTCTCTTAGCAGCTTCGTGGATGGGAGATGCCAGATTAGTCACAGGGTGGGGGCTGGCTCCATGCTGCAGAAGCACATTGACACAGTCCCGGTTGCCGCTGACACAAGCATTAAACAAAGGAGTGTGCCAGTATGCTGTCACGCCATTCACCTGGGGGAAAAAGCTCCAAGATGAAGACAGGCAGTGGGGGTGGGGGTGGGTGTTTGGGGTTCAACTGTAGGGTCGACCACTTTCAAGATGTTATCTAACTTCTCTGAACCTTAAATTACACAGCTACAAAATGGAGAGAAAAATACCAAATTCCACAAGGTTGGTGTGAAAACTGAATGAGGTGAATATAAGGCATCAAGGACATACTGAATGTTCCATCTCCTCCATGCCCTCCCCAGGAACTTGAACTTTGAAACTAGTTAGGATAATTTCAACAGCTTACAAACTAATCTCCTTATTTTAAACTTACTTCCTAGACTCATCCCATACCAACTCAGCTTCCTCAACAGCCACAAGAGCAATCTTCTAAAATTATCAAAGTATAATTTTTTAAAATTAAAAACATGACTTTCATACAAATATAGAGTTAACACATGCCGAAGATTTCATTCAATTCATTCATTAATGAGGGAATCATAAGATGGTAAGGCTGGCTCAAAGGAGAGTTTAAATATTCAATGGACTGCTGAAATATCTTTGCTAATAGACACAAAATTGGTTAATGTCCTATAGGGCCGTAAAACTATAATATTTGGTGCTAACTTTTCTAAGGTTGGAAGTCATAAATTTACAAGTTAACGTCTAACTCACAGTGCTTGGGCTATAATTGAGTAATAAGTAGCAAAGCCAATGCAGGCTCATTCTTCTATATCACTAAATAATTCTTTGGTGAATCTGTTAAGCAATGACATTGTGCAGACAATGAATTCATTCTCACATTCTACTTCCAAGCAAGGCCAGGACTAAAGTGAGGAACAAAGATACCCAGGGTGCAAATTTTAAAGAGATGCTTACTCTCAGGGTCACACAAATGCTGCAGGACCCTGAGAGTGAGCACCTCTTTAAAGTTTGCACCCTAGGTGCCTCTCTTGCTTCAACTTGGCCCTGGCCCTGTTTCCAAGTTTTAAATAAATTTCTTTAACCCAAATATAAATCTGATGATGCACTGACTTCTGGTTCTTTACCAATCTTAGGACAAAGTCCATTTTCTTGGCATAGACAGTAAGGCTGCTTGTATTCTGAACCCCCTCACTCATTCTACTCTCCTTCCATAAGGAATGACTTGAAGTCACAACAATTTGCTCACTTTCACTTCTAGGAATTTGCATTTATTGTTCTCAGGGAGCAGGAAACTCATAATTTTCTCCAACTCACCATTCAGCTGCCCAACACCAGTAGGTCTTTTAGGTTGCTGGTTAGGACACCATTTCCTGTAGCACTCCCCATCAGAAACAGACGGGTTAGGAACACTTCTACGTACTTTCAACAGCCCCTTTAGCATGAATACCTCATACACTGTGGTAGTTTGCAAAAATGACCACAGATTCTTTCTATCCCAGTATGCTTATGGGGATATGAAGTGTGGCTCTGCAATTCCTCCCATCACAAGATGGGGACTATTTTTCCAATCCTTCAATCTGGCGTGCCCGTGTGACTTCCTTTGGCCAATGGGACAGTAACAAAGGTGATGCATATTAGCAGAGAGCTTTCCTTCTTGTGCTGCTCTTGCAATCCCTACACTACCACGTGAACAAGTCCTGGCTGCCTGCTAAAGGCTGAGGGACCACATAGAAATATTCTGTCTCCCCAGACATCCTAGCCATTTTAGCCAAAAGTTGTGTGTTTTCTACAATATTTCACTACCTTCCAACCATAGCAATAAAGGCAGAAGTCTAAGAGCTATTCATTAGTAGCGTCTGATAAAGAAAATGATGTAGACTGTAAACATGACTTCCTGGCTGTAACTTCAGTATTTCATCTATCACTAAAGCAAATAAGTTTGATGGGCATAATACGCTTTAACGAAACAACCCTCTTCATATTTCAAATCAGGCTAATCAAAAGTGCTGGAAATTATTCAGAAGGAACACACAAACAGTCACTTGTCATGTTTGCTTTCTAAGATGTTATTTGAGCTTCACTTACCTTAGCTCCATGCGACAATAAGACGTTTGCACAAGAGAGATGACCTCTAAGACAGGCTTCATGGAGTGGGGAAACACCATCTGCTGTGACAAGGTTCACAGGCCACCCCTGAAGAAGGGGAAATGGTCAGAGAAAGGGGTGCAAAGGCCCAGGTCCTTGGGATTGGTTTGCAGCCACAATTCTAGCACTATGACAATTCTTCTAAAAGTTAACCTGGCTCAAAGTCAGACAGGTCACTAAGGTGTTGACAGTGATATAAAAAAGAAAAAGAACTCTTACAACATTACTGGTGGGCAAAATGGTACAACCATTCAGGCAAACAGTTTGGCAGTATCTATTAGAGTTGACAATACACATGCCTATGCCCCAGCATTGTGACTCTTAGGTATATGCACTCAAGATAGATACACCTAGATAAATATAGAATATTCACAGCACCATTGGTCCTGGCAGCCAAAGACTGCAAAAAACACAAATGCCCATCAACAGTTGACTAAATTAATAAACTTTCATGTCATCATTCAGTGGAACATTACACTAAACAACTACAAGGATGATGCTTGCAAAATAATGTTAAGCAAAAGAAGCAAGACCCATAATAATGCATGCTGAATGACTACTACATCAATATAAAGTTCAAACTTAGGCAAAACTAACCTGTATGGTTTTAGAATACATATATAAAAAGTAAAACTAATGAAAAACAAGGAAGTCAGGATCATGGTTACTTCCATGAAAGAGAGACAGGGTTGTGCTCTGGCACAGTGGGATGGGGTGGGAGGTGGTACTTTGGAGGAGCCAGTGATGTGCCACCTTTCCAATTCTTGACCTGAAGGGCAGTCACATGGCAACGTTATCATGGTCACTATTTGTTAAACTATACATGTGTGTTTAAGTTCTTTTGTTAAATGTTTGTTTATGATTTTTTTTCTCAATTAAATTTTTTTTAAAAGTTAAGCTGGTCCAAATTAGTAAGTTTAACAAACAATTGTTAAATCTTACCAAATCAATCAGTGGATCTTGCTTGTGGGACAATTAAATGGAAATTTTGAAACTGCAAGGGAACAGAAGGATAACTACATATACCTTTTAGGAAGCCTAAATGTACTTTATTACTTTAGGAAATGAAAATGTACCTATCAACTAATAAAACTGTTCTTTAAATATAAGTATTTAGTAATATACACGATTTGACAATGTGTGCAGTAAAAATAGCAATTCTACCCAAATTGTTTTCTCAAAAGAAAATAAAACTCTTTTTCTGACATTTAATTTTAATTTTTTTCCTTGGCCTTCCTAGCTCTGCCTCAGTTTTGACAAAGGGATCAGCAAACTACAGCCCATGAGCTAAATCCAGCCCACAACTTATTTTTGTATAGCACAGTAGTTAAGAATGGTTTTTCCATTTAAAATGGCTGGAAAGAAATCAAAAGAATATTTTCTGACACATGACAATTATACGAAATTCAAATTTCAATGTTTGTAAACAAAGTTTTATCAGAACACAGCCATACCCATTCATTTACATATGGCTTTTATGCTACAATGGCAGAGTTGAGAGTTGCAACAGAGACTGTGTGGTTTGCAAAACCTAAAATATTTATTATCTGGTCCTTTACAGAAAAAAAATTTGCCAACTCTGTTCTTGATCAAAAGGAAAGCTTATATCATTTCTTCCTATACTATTCATACCTAAAACTTAAACGTGCAATTGAGACAATACTGTATTTTCTCACATTGTCATCACACTTTTAAAAAGTAGCTTTGTGAATGCAACAAGAGGGGTATGACTGTCACATGAGGCAAATATCATGTGAGGGTATCAGACACAAGTGGTTGGAACACAGGCCCAGGCACAGAAGTTGGGCAAAAGACAACCACAGGAAGAATGACCCATAAGAAAAGGTTCCAAATTGGGGTGTACAGCAAAGCAAGTGAGCAGTGACCATGGGGCCATAGCACCTCCAGAATGATATAGGTCCCCCAACCATTGTGTACAATTCAAAAGAAGATGCCTTCCAACTCCACCCAGCCCAGCGTGCCCACTTTGACATAGGTCTTTGCCTAGTGCTTATTGGTAGTGGCAAACATGCAACTAAGAATGATGAGAGAAAGTATAAAGTGAGCTTCAACTTGCCTGGATTCTGTGTCTCTGACCTGTGAACTCCCCATAATTCCTATCTCGGACACTCAAACCTTGTGTAATCCCCTCCCCTTGAGTGAGGGCTGGACCCAGAGATTTGCTTCTAATGAAGAGAACATGCAAATGTGACAGGAAGTTACTTCCATGATTAGGTTACAAAATACTTTCATCTTGTTCTCTCTCTTGCCCTCTCACTTGTTGGCTTACTTACCCTGATGAGATCCATGACAAGAGGCTGAAGGTGGCCTTCACCTAACAGCCAGCCAGGAACTGAAGCCTTCAGTCAACAATCCAGGAGAAACTGAATCTTGCCAACAGCCACCTAAATGAGCTTACATGCGGGTCCACTCTTAGTCAAGCCTAAAGATGACTGCAGCTCTAGCTCATACCTTGATTGCAGACTACTCACCGGAGTCCCTGATCCAGCAAAATTGTGTCTAGATTCCTGACACACAGGCACTGTTTGCTGACTTGTGACACAGCAAGAGATGACTAATACAAGGCCAAAGTATTGGGTGACCCTCTATAGACAGACAAAGAAAGTCCTAAGATAGAGGGGCAATTACATTCCCACTCTAGAAACTTTGAGTCTGGAGAAGCAAGACAGTATCTGAAAGGCTGGTCTTGGGGTCCATCAATCTCTGGGAAAATATGGTCTCCAGGAGAAGGATCATGAGCCCAATCCAAGCAGAACACCAAAAGGATTCCAGGAGAGGCTCCACAACAACCCCCCCTCCCCAAACCCTGCTCCTGGAACACATTACCCTTTATGGGGAAACTGGGTACAATAAAAGTTCTTTTTCAGGAGACATGTCAGTGAAGAGCATGGTTAGTTTAATTAATGACTCAGTAATATGTTGGACTTTTTCTCCCCAGAAGAGTCTTCTAGAACCATTCCAACAAATTGCCTCACTCACCATCACTCTGGACACACATTCTTCTACTTTTGTGAGCATTTGCGAGTCAGCCCTCTAATCATCCTGTCCTTTTGACTTTTACCCTCTGATTGGCAAGCTCACGTGTTTCGAGATATGCAGTCATTCTGGGCATACACCTGAGCATACAGGAGCTTCAATCCAGAGCCTTTTTTTCAGTGGGCCTGGGAAGAGGTTCTGGGAGATTCACCATAATCAGCTTGTAAACAAGCCTCCAATGCCCTTCACAGTGTGCTGCCATCCCAGCTCTGCTGCTGGAAGGGAGGGGACTGTAGCCTCCCACCCTTCACAGCTTCAAATCACATCTGTCCCCAGTGAACACTCAATAAAAGTTTACTGACCCCTGGCTCATGAAGAGTTTGAGTTACTCCTGCACAAATACCACCCATGGACTTTACAATGTAGTATCTGCTATTTTATTAAATACTTTATTATTGGCATTATTATTTTATTGGAGGCATTCCTTCAAAGATTTGTCCTCAAATCTTTTTCCCCCCTCAATGCTCTATATTTGTCCAATATCTTCCACTCACACTGCAAGAATATACAAGGAATTCACAGCAAATGTTAATTGCGTTTTTCTCTGTGCAACAGATTGTGAGCTGAAAGAAAACTGCCCTTTGAAGGAATTATTTATTAGGTATTCTGTTATTATAAACGTACTCCTCCACTGTCATTTTTAAACCAGCATTTAGGTATTTATACATAAATTTATGTAAATGAAATGCAACAAAAAATATTCACAACACAAAACAAAAAGTTGTTAATATTCTCATTATCAAGAGTTTCCTTCTGAAAATTTGGGAACTTATAGTTTATCATTAAGCTACAGTTCTACCTTAAATGAACTGTGGTGATTCATCTAAATTGTTGACAAGTCTGAGCTCATATAATATCATAAGGTAATTTTTAACTCATTACTTCACGTAGCGTCCAGTCTGCAGTGGATTCTCAGTAAAAAAAAAAAAATTGCTTGAATGGATTATCTTGAATTTTTCTATTATCAATTGTTACCTAATCTCAGTTGACAAAATGTACTTTCTTGATCCTTGACTTTGGACATGGTCATGTGACTTGCTTTGGCCAATGGGATGTTAGTAGAGGTGCCATAAGCCAAGATTGGGTGTATTCCTGCATGGCTGGGCTCACCCTGCTGGAGCCTTTTGGCAGTGGAAGAAAATTTCTCAGGTAGCCAGTGGTCCAAGGAGGAAAGAGATGTGCAACAGAGCTTCATCCAACCCACACCTTGGAGCAAGCCCAGCTAAGCCCAGCATAGATCAACTGATCCAAACACTCATTAGCAAGAGACAATGTTTGTTGTATCATGCCACTGAGTTTTGGGGTGGTCTGTTACTGAGTTTGGGGGTGGACTGATACAGATAGGTATTAGAATGATCATTTTACGAAGACAGAAATTGAGGGGCTGAGAAGATAACTGATGCAAATAATGTGATAGAGCTTCAATAAAGACATGGTGCTAGCTGATGTTCGGTGAACATGTAACAAATACTGAATGTTAATGAATAGTTGTCCAATTTAACCAATGATATATAAAGCTGCAATGATTATTTTTCATCCTATCAAAATAGGATACATTTTTTATTTTATCTGAGAAGCAGCCTAACTTCTTTTAGCTAAAGTTATCTGTTATAATCTATTTATAATAGGCTGCTGCTACCAAAAACAGCTTAAGATAGTGGTTTAGGGTAGTATGAAATTTTTCTTTAGAAAATATTTTATTATAGGAGGGGTTCTTAATTGGAATCTTTTTAAAAGCACATTTATTTTCACTAACGTCTATATGAAATTTAGCGTGTCCTTCAGTTATGAATGTAGACAACAAGCCACACTAGTAATAGTAGTGTATAGGACTATCACCTATAGAAATCACAGGCTTTTTATTGTATTACAATTGTTGCAGATATCTAAAATATCTCAAAATATATGCTCATCCTACTTAGAAATTATGGTAGTTATTAGAATCACTACTACATCTTTTTTTTTTTTTTTTGAGACAGAGTCTCACTTTGTTGCCCAGGCTAGAGTGAGTGCTGTGGCATCAGCCTAGCTCACAGCAACCTCAAACTCCTGGGCTCAAGCAATCCTGCTGCCTCAGCTCAGCCTCCCGAGTAGCTGGGACTACAGGCATGCGCCACCATGCCCGGCTAACTTCTTGTATATATATTTTTAGTTGGTCAATTAATTTCTTTGTATTTTTAGTAGAGACAGAGTCTTGCTCAGGCTGGTTTCGAACACCCGACCTCGAGCAATGCGCCTGCCTCAGCCTCCCAGAGTGCTAGGATTATAGGCGTGAGCCACCACGCCCGGCCTTACATCTTCTTATTCAATGAATTAATTAAGCAATCCATATATTATTGTGTCACACATTTGTTTTCATATTTTGATAGGTTGCTTTTGTATTGCATTTTATGCATTTAAAACATTACTCTGAGGCTGGGCGCGGTGGCTCACACCTGTAATCCTAGCACTCTGGAAGGCCGAGGCAGGCAGATAGCTCAAGGTTGGGAGTTCGAAACCAGCATGAGCAAGAGGGAGACCCCATCTCTACTAAAAATAGAAAGACATTAAATGACCAACTAAAAACATACATACAGAAAAAAAAGTGAGCCGGGCATGGTGGTGCATGCCTGTAGTCCCAGCTACTACTCGGGAGGCTGAGACAGAAAGATCACTTGAGCCCAGGAGTTTGAGGTTGCTGTGAGCTAGGTTGATGCAACAGAGTGAGACTCTAACTGAAAAAAAAAAAAAAAAAAAAAAACAACATTACTCTGAGAAGAGGTTCACAGAATGCCAAAGGGATCCATGGTACAGAAAGGGATGAGACCTTCTAACTTAAAAGATCTCTTGTCTTTCAAGAGAATAGAAATTTCTGAACAAAAACTTTATTAGGACTTTGGTGATTTAGAATGCTTTCTTAAAAGTGTCTTTGCTTAGGTTCCAAATAATTTCAAACCAACAAAACTCAAATCAATGCGTACTTGAAATCACACCTGAGGAACACAGAAACTAAAATGAAACTGTTCAGAGCCATTGTCGACCAGGGATTTAACAGAACTGAAAATGTCTTTGAAATTATGAGACTCCATATTGAAAAAGACATTTTCACGCATTTATTTTACATCAGGGCTTTTCAACCTCAGCATTGCTGGTATTTTGGCTGGATAATTTGAGACGTGGACTGTCCTGTGCACTGGAGGATGTTTAGTAGCGTCCTTGGTCTCTACCCACTAGATGCCATTGTCACCCTCCTGCCTTCCACAATATAACCAAAAATGGCCCCAGTCATTGTCAAATATCCCATGAAGGGTGAAACTGCCCCAGTTGAGAACCACTGTTTTACATAATTTTCGAGAACAGTCTATTGAATGAAGTGAAGGCAACCTGAATGCACTACTTGCCAGTTATTCATTCAACAGATATTTAATGTAGTAAGTACTATGTGCCTATGTAGTAGACTCTGGTATTATTATACCAGCCTCCCAAGAAAGAAATGGTTAGGTAGGATGTGATTCAATTCGGTTTGCTGAAGAGGAGATTTATATCTCATTATCAGTCTATGATTTTTTTTTTCTCAGTGTGGTGTAAACAATAGGAGGTACCATTATTTTCAAAAAGCTACCTGGCTGATGAGGTTCCTCAGAGAAAGCAGGCGTCCGTGGAGTGCTGCCTCATGCATGGGAGACCAATCAGACACAACATCTGTACGGAAAGGAAGGAATGGGTTACATCCTGTGAATGCACTTAGACCCCAAGGCTTATCGCAGCCCGTCAGTGAGAGCCTAACAGGTCCTGGATGGAGACATTGGAGTCATTCAACCAAAATTCCCATCAGGGCTTCAGCATCTCTCCCCTCTACTGATGTTTCTTGTGCACAGTTTATTTGAAGTGCCTGGATAGCTCATGAAAGAACTATGGCCAGTACTCAAACTGAGGACAAAAGAGGTAGAATTGGGATGACAGATAGATTACTGTACTTCTATTTACACACTGGTTTCAAAAGCAAATGGCCCCATTTAGTTAAGTGAGAGCTTCACTAATTACCAGCATTAGTGTGTTAAGCCGTGGTTGCCAGTCTTATTTCCTGCATACAATATAAACTTTGGCATCTCAGCCAACAGTGCCATATATTAACAGTGGTAATCACATAATTACATACTCCATTAGGTTTGGCATCATATCTAAACAGAACCATATCTATTTATAGATTACCTCCTGTTCTGATATTAAGTGCAAATCAGAGTTCAGTCTGAGCTTGAAACGGGGACATTATTTACCTTCAAAGCCATCATGCCTGTGTGGTTAGGAAAAAACCCTGAATTCAGACCCATTTGATCTCTTCTGAACTGTGGGCCCCTGGAAAGGCCCTGAGCCTGTTTCCTTCTTGGCAAGGTGAGGATAGCAATATATAGGTTGAGTATCCCTGATCCAAATAGCCAAAATCTGAAACTTTCTAAGCACCAACATGACACTACAAGTAGCAAATTCCACACCTGGCCTCATGGACAGGTGATAGTCGAAACACAGTGAAAACTTTGTTTCAGGCCAGGTGCGGTGGCTCAGACCTGTAATCCTAGCGCTATCGGGGGGCTGAGGCAGGAGGATCCCTCAAGGCCAGGAGTTCGAGTCCAGCCTGAGCAAGAGCGAGACCCTGTCTCTACTAAAAATACAAAGAAATTATCTAGACAACTAAAATATATATAGAGAAAAAATTAGCCAGGCATGGTGGTGCATGCCTGTAGTCCCAGCTACTTGGGAGGCTGAGGCAGGAGGATCGCTTAAGCCCAGGAGTTTGAGGTTGCTGTGAGCTAGGCTGACGCCACAGCACTCTAGCTCAGGCAACAGAGTGAGACTCTGTCTCATTAAAAAAAAAATTGTTTCATGCACAAAACTATTTAAAAATAGTGTATAAAATTGCCTTCAGGCTATATGTGTAAGGGGTATATGAAACAAATAAATTTTGTAGATTTGGATTCTAGCTCTACAATAACTCATTAGGTAGTATATGCAAATGTTCCAAAATCTGAAACAAAAGCATTTCGGACAAGGGGATTCTCAACCTGTACTTAACCATGACTCCATACATATTAGCTACTGTCATTATCCTGCCCTAACACTAAACAGAGGGTCTTTATTACACCCCATAATCAATGCTATTCAAAATAGCAAATTGATTCCACCATCATATACAAGGAATACAAATTCTTAGGAAAGAAGCATGTAAACTCAATCCCAACACATTAATTGCTTTCTCTCTCTTTATAATTGATGTAACTAAATGAGTCATAGACCTGATTTTTTTCTCATCTCAAGCTGCATCTGATTTCTAGAACAAACAGACGCAGGAAGTCAGAGGAGGCTTGTCTGAGCTCGCTTCAGCTCCAGCTCTGCCTGCTTCTGTAAACACACTACATACAAACAAGGCAGCATGGTCTGATACCAGTTATGTCTTGCATGGGAGCTAATAGCTCCTAAAAGCTGAGAAGAGCTGGAGAACCAGGATTACCTTGTAAACTGACTGAAAGGCCACGAAGAGGCAAGAGCGCTTTGTACTTAACATGTGTTGGCTGACGCCTGCCTGCCACCTGGAGCCATCAATGCCCTGGAAAGTCTGTCCCAGTGAGCAAATTGCCATCCTTCCAGATGGATTCACTGAGCATTGAAAACATGAAAGAAAAGCTGAATGAGCCCGCCTACAAACTGCCCATGCAATGCTTTCCTTCTGGGGTCACTGAGGTGATTAAGACAAGGCACCTTAAGTGAAATGGCTTTTGCTACCTCTAAAACCTTATGCTCAATAGATACTCATTGTCCTCACAGCATTCCCTGAGGTTCCTAATTCTCTCAGAAATAACTATGCTGCTTCCAGGGCTTGGAGTCTAAAATCTGGACTGCAGATATGGAAAGATTGACCTCCCACTTAGAATTTAAAGGACAACCAATTCCACCCTGTTCATGCTGAGAATACAAAAAATACCATTTACACAAAATCTCCAGTGAGAACCAAGAGCCAAAACTCTAGAAAGGTTTTGAAAACCTGTTTTGCACAGATTTGCGAATGTGCCCTAATGGATCGCCATATGTGTGACGATTAATCCATTTTTCCTTCTAAGTGCTCAGCTGCTAAGAATAGCCGCCACATTCCTCAAGCTTTCTTGAAGCTACTTACGATTATTAGAGTTGACAGCCTAAACAGTCCAGGCAGGTAAATTGGGCTCTAAATTTCAACTTTGCTCAGATTTCATAAAAATGATGCAATTGTATTAACAAGTGTAGACAAAAATGGGGTTTACTCTCCACTCATTCATCATGGAACCTTTACTCTTGTTTGGGGCAAATAAAAAATTACATACTTCTCCAAGAGAGCAACAAAGGCTACCTAAGTTTTTGCACCTCTGCAGAATGTAGCAGGGACAGCCTGTGCCTTTGACAAGTACAGAGTGTTCTGGTACACGCAGTGAGGGTCTAACAATAGGCATATCTGTATCTAGCTAGCTAGCAAACAGCTACATTGAGATGTAATTGACATACCATATAACTCACCCATTTAAAGTGAACGACTCACTGGTTTTCGGTATATTCACAGAGTTGTGCAACCACTATCACAATCAGTTTTAGAACATTTTCATCACCCCAAAAAGAAATCCCATGCCTATTAGCATTCACTCTACATTTCTACTTCCCTCAGCCCCTGGAAACCACAGATCTACTTTCTGTCTATATAGATTTGCCTATTCTGGACATTTCGTATAAATGGAAGTATACAATATATGGTGGTTTGTGAATGGCTTTTTTTAATTTAGCATAAGGTTTCAAAGCTCATCCATGTTGTAGCAGGCATCAGTGCTTTATCTCTTTTTTGGACAAATAATATTCATTGTGTAGATCGACATTTTATTTATTCATTCATCAGCTGATAGAAATTTGGGTTGATTTCACTTCTTGGCTATTACTAATGATGCTGCTATAAACATTCATGTGCACGTTCCTGAGTAGATGTATATTTTCATTTCTCTTGTATATACACCTTAAAAGTGGAATTGCTGTATAATATAACACAATGATATAACAGCCTTTTGAGACTATTTTCCAAAGTGGCTGCACCACTTTACAGTCTCATCAAGTAATGTATGAGGCTTCCCCTTCTAACCTGAAGTCACTTCAGTCTGGGGTTTGTTAAGCCTGTCACAGTATGCATCCTGCCCAGAAGAAAAACGTGGGTCCTTGTAACCAAAATCCATCTCAAATTTGTACAAGGACCTTAGCCTCTGCAGGTCTCAGAACGATTGAGTGATTATGCAAAAACTCACAACAGTGATAATATGGTTAGCATTTTTCTAACATTTAGAAAGCATGGATTGTATATATATTTAATATATACAGCCGTGTAACCATTCTTGTTTTATTAACAATGGCTGGATACTTTCTGGACAGCCATCATATACATACACACACACACACACACACACACACACGCATATACACACAGTTTAGCAAACACCATTAATTTGCAATGGGGATCAGTTCACACATACTCTGTTAGTTCTGGAAAACACTGAAGACATGCACCTTGTGGGACCCAAATAGAGGTCAGCTTGGGAGGACCTGGGAAACGCTTCTCTATGGTTTTCCAGAGCCCACGCCCCAAGGAGGCAATGAGCTATATACAACATGTGCCCAATTAAACCCCAAAGCACCTGTCTTCCTGAGAACTGAAAGCTGGAGAGAACAGAAAACAAACAGGGAAGGGGACATGTTTTCCTATCAGAACAGAGACGATGGTCACAGAAGAAGACCATCAGATAGATGAAGGGTAGAGTCAAGGTCACAATATCCTTTTCCACTGGCTCCACCAAAGTCTTTGAAACTCAAGGGTCATTATCTGTGTATAAAACATTATCCAACCCCCATAATATGCTGAAATTAGAAAAAAAAAAAACATTATCCAAGTCCTTAGCATATATTAAGGATTCTTTCCCAACACTTGTTCAGCCATGGTCTATTAGTTTTGCTGCCCAAAAAATAGATGCCAAATGAGGTCACATCCAGTAATGTGGCCCACAATTAAAATGGGGCAGAGAGCTCTTGTAAGAAAATCACTCTACAAGTCCTCCAATTAGTGCCATTAAACTTAGCTTTTTAAGAAATTGTGCCTTTCTCATACCTGAAGCACATTAGAGAGGCTGCCAGTTCATTTTTATTGCAACTTCTGGAACCATTTTTTAAATTTCCATTATTTCAGAAGAGATTTAAAATGCACTAATTGGTACATTCTGAAAAGAGCTATTAACAAAGTTCTGGGAGCCTTAGTGAATGGTAGGCAGTAGCCTTAAGTCTATGTATCCTGGGAAACATTTTGCAAAGTCAAGGGGAGGAAAGAGAAGCTGGGTTGCTCTGAGGGGACAGGAACATTTTCCTCCAGTCTTTTGGACATAAGGGTGTAATTCAGTGGCATGCAGCAACACTGGAGAGGGTCTGGGTGCTGTGTTTGTAATTATAGTGGATCTTGATGTCATTCCAGGACAAACAAAAAGAGGAGAAACAGAGGCTCCCAGTCAGAAACAGGCAAACAGAAAGGCCCACTGAGGCAGCTCCTGGGCAAGTAAGGCCTGCCCACTGCAATTCTTTCTCCAGTTCCATCATCCATCCAGCCTCCCCCTCCTCTCTCTCTCTCAATATGGAACTGCCTTCTCCAAAGGGACCTCACACTATCACCCATTCTGCCTGAACAGGCAAGATCCCCCCCCCAGAAAACTCACCCCTGCTGAGACACCCCAATAGCTAAAAATCCACCGTAAGAGATAAAATCGGCCGGACGCAGTGGCTCACGCCTGTAATCCTAGCACTCTGAGAGGCTGAGGTGAGTGGATTGCTCAAGGTCAGGAGTTCGAAACCAGCCTGAGCAAAAGCAAGACCCCCGTCTCTACTAAAAATACAAAGAAATTAATTGACCAACTAAAAATATATAGAAAAAATTAGCCGGGCATGGTGGCACATGCCTGTAGTCCTAGCTACTCGGGAGGCTGAGGCAGGAGGATCGCTTGAGCCCAGGAGTTTGAGGTTGCTGTGAGCTAGGCTGATGCCACGGCACTCACTCTAGCCCAGGCAACAGAGTGAGACTTTCTCAAAAAAAAAAAAAAAAAAAAAAGAGAAAGAGAGAGAGAATAAAATCATTTCCTTTCAATACCTATTCTTACCTGTCTTCTTTTTAAACGTGAATACTCTCTACCTCTGTCATCCCACGGCATTCACCCTGTGTGTCTCCTCTCCTTTTCTTATAAAGACACTAGTCATGTTGGATTAAAATCCCTCCTACTCCAGGGATGACCTCATCTTATCTAATTACATTCACAATGATCGTATTTCCAAATAAGGTCACATTCTGAGGTACAGGGTAATAGGACTTCAATACATCTTTTGAGAGGATACAGTTCAATTCACAACAAGTGAGAACAAGTTTGGAGAGATGGAGTGGTTGATGAAGCTTTGAAAGCTAGGTGGAGGAAGTTAGCCTTCTTGGGGCAGGGAATTGGGAGCCATTGATGGTTCTTGAGCAGAGACCTGGCAATAATGAAGGCTGTAAGTAAATTACTGTGGCAGCTACGGTCAGGATAGATTATGGTGGGATCATGGGAGATTGTTGCACTAATGCACTGGCTCTCAAACTCTCATGTGCCTCAGCATCACCTGGAGGGCTTGTTAAAATGCAGGTGATACAGCATTTCAGGGGCAAAGAAACATTTTCTTCCCTGCTCCTGGGACAGGAGAGTCAACGATTAAACACATCTCTATAAAAAGTTGCCCAGCTTCTTATACTGTCCTTCCTCCTCCAGAGGAGGCAGAGAAAAGCCTGTGGGTGGAGGTGGGAGCAGCAAAGTTCCCCAAGATTATCCATACCTGGGCAATTTATTCCCTCCGACCTGGCCTTGTGCCAGGGGACATGCTTCACCTGAGCTGAGTTTCTTAGTATGGCCATTTGGAAACAGCACTCCGAGTGTTCCACATTCCACACTTCGTGAAGGTCAAGACTTCAGAAGTGTAAACAAATGCAACCAGCTGTAACTGAGGTTTTGCCCAAGGGGCAGGACTGGTGCAAAGCAGAGAAAGAATAACTTGACTCTACTTGGGTAAGGGAGAGGAGAAAGCTCGGAGGGCTTCATGGCGGCAGTGGCCCAGCTGGGTGTGGAAGGTGAGTAGGAGTTTGCCAGTGAGATTCAGAGAAGAAGGAGGTAAGAGAGCAGAGGTATCCAGGCATCTACCCTTATGACTTTCACTTCTTTGAAAATTTCCCTTCCTTTAGTCCCTGTGCGATGACAGCACCGCAGTCTCTACCTGCTTCTCTGTCCAACTCATTGATCCTACTTCCCGGACTAGAGGCTTGTCCCAGGGCTCCACCCTGGGCTCTCGGCTCTCAGCCCTCAGACAGTTTCTCCTTTCCCAGGGTTTCAGCCACAGCCCCTCCGCAAAACGTCCTGAGGTCTCTGACTCCCAACCTGTAATTGTTTCCAAGCCTCAGCCCGTGTCACGCTGTGCACTGGGCATCATCACTGTCACTTTTATGTCCCAAACACTCCACATCCTCCCTTCCTCACCCTGCTCCCGAACCAACTCGCCTTCCCAACTTCCCGCTTATCTAGCTCTCTTATCTGACATTAATTTAGGCTTGAAGACTTTACGATTTTGCCTGCCTTCTGTCCTTCAGGCCCAATATTCAATCAAGCAGCACAGCTTGCTTGATTTCTGTCCTTTGAAATTATCACCCTTTCTCTGTCCTTTCCAAAGTTCAATCCAAATGTAAGCTTTATGTTTGGATTGGTGCAGTGGTTCTCAAAGTGTGGTCCCCGACTAGCACCAGCTAGCATCACTTGGAAGCTTGTTATGAATTCCGATTCCTAGGCCCCACCGCAGCCCTACAACTTCATCAGAAGCTGCATCGCTTGCATTTTAACAAGCCCTCCAGGTGATGCTGAGGCACATGAGAGTTTGAGAGCCAGTGCATTAGTGCAACAATCTCCCATGATCCCACCATAATCTATCCTGACTGTAGCTGCCACAGTATTTTACTTACAGCCTTTATTATTGCCAGGTCTCTGCTCAAGAACCATCAATGGCTCCCAATTCCCTGCCCCAAGAAGGCTAAATTCCCCCACCTAGCTTTCAAAGCTTGATCAACCGCTCCATCTCTCCAAACTTATTCTCACCAGACTCCCTAAGACACTCTGCATTTCGGCTGTAACAACATGTTCACTTTCTAAGCACCATACCTTTGAGTATAACACCTGCCCACCTCCATCCACGCATCCTGCCCTAACCAGGATTGCATTAGGACCCTTAGAACCCCTCAACAGTGAAAAGTGGACAGTGCTTCTCTCCCACGTGGAAACAAAAATAAACATAATATTGAGCTGTAAAATAATTGTGCAAAAGTCAGCCAAATTACCGATTCTTTCCCATAATGGTTGGTCTGCTGCTTTAAAAACACAGTTATCAAATTCTTTGTAAAAAGGGACTTTTGGTGCCGCTCTGCTTTCCTAGTGCTCCAAATTCATGCTCAATACCGATTAATCTAGTTCTGCCTTTGGGGATCCAAATCCTACTCACCATTGAGTACTCTGCTCATCTTATGAGAAAAATTAGATAAATAAATGAATGAATGAGCAAGTTTTGTCTGTTCAGTCAGAGGAAAGGAGTTTTATATGTTATTTCTTATATTCCCCCCCCTTTCAGCCCCAGTACAGTAGAATAGTAAGTTCTAGCTGACTTTAGGGTCCCTGTTTACTACCCCCAGATGGATAGATGTTGTTGGCACCCAACCAGGGCACTGAATATAATAATCTCTCCACAAATGCCTAAAGAAACCCATTTATCAGAATCCTTAGCAAGCAGGCACCTGATGAATGCTTGCAAGAGGGTGCCAGTGCCCATATGCGTGGGACTCTATATGGTAGCAAAGACGCCACTTGCTAGGCGAGAACCATACCTGTGAAACACTTCTCCAAAGTTGACAAAACAAAGTCTCTTTATAAAATGAATCCATCAGTGCTTAATATTTGAACATCATTTATAAACCAAGCCCCACCTAAAAGCCAGATACCCAAGACCTTTCAAACAAAGTAATGCTTGAGCATTACAAATTTTTTCCTGTCTGTAAGAAACTTCCAAACTTCCAATTAATAAATAATGCATTTGACCCACAAAGCTCCTTGGAGCTGAAATTTTCACTGGACAGTAAGCCGTGCCAGTTGAATTCGTGCCGTCTATAGGATTTTGCAGATGGAGGGGTAAACATTTTTAAACAACTGTGTAAAGGACATAGACCAGCAAGCCGTGGACATCTGTCCAGTAACTGTCCCATAGACACACCTCAGATGGAGCCACTGAAATTGCCCAGTCCTCCTCTCTCTTCCCTCCTGAGCATGTTAGCCAACCTCCCCAGCGCCCTGCTTCCCCGGCCCCTATGACTCACCGCCCATCATTGGGTTTGTAACAAGCCTGGTGTCCGGAGAGCCGCCTGACCCCGGCGGTTTGCTGCCCATCCTGCGCCCTCGTTTGCCATCCATGGTGCTCTCCTGGGCCAGCAAGCTGCACGCTCCACTTCAGTTGCTTAGGAAAGTCCAAACTCCATGCTCCCCCTGCGCCTGAAAAATTCCAGGTTTGTGGCTGGCTGAGCTGCACACGTCCTGGGCAGACAGTCTGCAGCAAAAACCCGCACAGGCAGGGGGCAGGGTAATCTGAGTACTACCTGTGGTCAGAGAGGCACGTGTGTCTGTCCGTCTCTCTCTCCTCTCTCTCTCTCTCTCTACCTAGCTAGCTGGAGGCCTGCCAAAGGCCACACCAGCCCCCAGGCCCCAAGCCTGCAAAGTTGCTGATGTCACGTCCTTTCCCAAACTGAGACCAATCAGTGAGGAAGCTTTGTAGTTTTATCAGGAAGGAAACTCACAGTTTGTAACTTTTGGAGAGCAAGGGAGTAGGGTGGGGGTGAGGGAAACAGCTTGATCTCTCGGTGCAACGTGCTTCTGCTTGCTGAGACCTCGGTTGTTACATGGTGGCTTGTTTTGCAGACCAGCTCCAGCACCCAGAGCTGAGAGAGCCGGTTGGTTTTGCAGAAGCCTTGCTGAATTGCCTGCACAGTAACATGTCCAGCACGCCCTGGACATCTGCACATGTGCTTTCAATTTTGCTGGGAGTTTCTTGTGGGAAAATGTGTCTATATGTTACAAAAATGCACATTTGGAAAGAACTCCTTTATTCCTTGCAGCTGCAAGAATTTCATTAAATGTCCTACTTCACCCTTCCTCCACATATTTTATTTTTACTTCTAAATAAATCGTGCATGGTTGCAATTGGAAAAATGGATTGGTAGGTGGCATGGGGTGTAGAAGAGACCCACTGTCTTTCAATTGTTAGTTATGAAAAGTGTTATTTCGCCTATAGACAAGCTATTTGGGTGTTCTGTGTCTGTGTCTTTTCAGATAAACTCAGTTTCCTTATACCCCTGGGTGCTGCTTCAGACTGATGGCCACTCACAGACCCCCCACTACTCCTCTCTTCCAGGCAGAAGGGGATTTTTCATCCACGTGGGAGAAGGCTCTGAGTTAGTCTCAAGCACAGGCTGGCTGTGAAATAAATGATCACTGATTTATTTGTCTTAATGCCAAAGAGGTAGCCTTGCTGCTTTGGATTTATGGAGTCTCAGGTGAAATATTTGGTGGCCACTATTAACAGTTAGAGGGTGTCCTTCATGTTTTCAAAGGCATTTCTGTGCATACAGATATCTCTACACATTTATCCCTTTACATTTTTCACATAAGTGTACTTATATTTGCCTGGGAGATCTTTCCATTTTGGCTTGTAACAGCTGAGCTCCTTTCTTTATTCACTGCTGCATAGTATTCCATATTGTGCCAAAAAATGTTTAATTAAGCCCCTAATGATGCAAACAGAATGTCACCATTTCTTTTAGTGCTACAAAAAGAGGCAGTCCATATTTTTGTACATAATGGCTTGGTGCACATATGCAAATATTTCCAGAGGAGAAATTCCTAAGAGTAGAAATGCTGAGTCAGAGGCATGCTCCTACACATGTGATAAATTGTATAGAACTAAACACATACACACACACATAAATAAACACGAGTAAAACTGGGGATTTCTGAATAAGATCAGTAGATTGTTTGAATATCCTAATTGCATGAATGTCAATTTCTTGGTTAGAATATTGTACTACAGTTTTGCAAAGAGTTTCGGAAACTGGGCAAAGAGCACAGGAGATCTCTCTGTTACTTCTTAGGACTGCATGTGAATCTATAATTCTTTCAATGCAAATTTCAATTTTAACAAAGAAGCTGCTCATTTAACATCGGGTTAAATACTACCAAACTGCCCTCCATCTCTATTTGCAGAATTAACTGAGAAAGCCATAACCATACAAATTCTTCCCTACTCCATCAAGAAACATTTGAAGAATGACAAACTTGTATTTGGCAGAGAGTGAGAAATGTAGACATTTCCCAACATAGACTGGATGGGAAGGAGTTAAACAGAGGGGCACAAGGGGAGCTGGATACTATATCCGCTCTTTCCAAGTAAAATCTTCATAGTACAACTCCTTTACTTACATTTAATTACATTCCAAGAAGATAAAGTTTTCAGTTCTAAAATGAAAATAAAGAACATTTCCAGGTTGTTGACCTCCTACCTGGGAAAGAATTCATCAGATTTTAATCTTCTTGCTGTATTTATAACATTGGTCAACCCTAGTAAATAGGAGGAGGAGGGCCGGGTGCGGTGGCTCACGCCTGTAATCCTAGCTCTCTGGGAGGCCGAGGAGGGCAGATGCTCAAGGTCAGGAGTTCGAAACCAACCTGAGCAAGAGTGAGACCCCATCTCTACTATACATAGAAAAAGATTAATTGGCCAACTAAAAATATATAGAAAAAATTAGCCGGGCATGGTGGCGCATGCCTGTAGTCCCAGCTACTCGGGAGGCTGAGGCAGGAGGATCGCTTGAGCCCAGGAGTTTGAGGTTGCTGTGAGCTAGGCTGACGCCACGGCACTCACTCTAGCCTGGGCAACAGAGTGAGATTCTCTCTCAAAAAAAAAAAAATAGGAGGAGGAAGCTGAATTTTGTTAACTGTTTAACAACAGTTCTTTACAAGAGGAGTTTATGCATTTTTAAGGATTTGTATGAGGATAAAGTCAAATCACGTGTGTAGGAGCTGTGACTATAGAGAAATGGGTTGGCTTACCACGAGCCATAAGAGAAAAGCAATCTTACCAATCTGTAATCAGCCCTCCCTGTGTCTGCCACTGTCTGTGTCTGCAGGTTCAGTGAAATTGACCCAGGTTAGGCAAGAGAAGGGAACGACTGCTTGCAGCAGAGGGTTAAGGCCACGGTCACTCCTTACCGGGTGCAGAGCTCACACTAGCCAGCGCCTCTGCCTCACCCCTCACTTAGATGTCCAAGGCACGCCTCACTCTTTCCTCCTGAGGCCTTGGGAAGCCTCAAAGGTCATTTCCAATCAGTCAAAGTTGGCCCCAGAGCTGAACCTTCTTGTTATTCCAGCTGGCGATTTTTCTAGCACAAAATCTTTAAAACCTCAAAGGTACACATCTGCTCCCATAACTTGGAATTGCCTGATTTTCTGGCAAAAAAATCTTAGCTATTTCAGTTGTTCTCCCATAACTGGGTCTGCATGCTGAGGCATCTGATGTCACTGCTTTAGAGAGCACTCAGTCCTACTCCGTCAAGCGGTACAATAAAATTCAAAGAAGAATGCGTTTTTTAAAATCTGGCATAATGCAGTATTCTTGAGGAAACAATCAGGTGAATCAAAATTGAGAGACAGTCCGCCTAACAATGGGGCTGGACTCTTCAAAAATGCCAATGGCAGGAAAGTCAAACGTGGGGAGAGGAATCTATCTAAATTAAAGAAGAATAAAGAGACTTGATTGGATCCTGAATAATGAAACAAGACAGAAAAGACATCAATGCCACAATTGTGGAAACTTAAATCTGGACGTATATTGGATAGTCACACTGAATCAGTGTCAAACTTCCACGTGCGATCACTGAACCAGAGTTCCATAGGAGAAGCTCTGTGTTCTTAGGAGATGCACACTGAAGTGCTTAGTGCACAGCCATGCAGGAGAGCAAGGGGGAAATGTGTGCCTAGGTACATAATTTGCACCAAATAGAAAAAGTCCATGTAAGCTCTACAGTCAAAACACATGAATATATATATATATAAAGCCCGTGTTGCCCAATCTGTTTGCGTGCCATTGTCATTCCACATAAACCCAGAACCACTGTTCTCATTGCACAATGATGCAGGGTCATAAAACAAACAACAACAGCCTGTCTTTGTTAAGATTTTTGATATTTTGGCCATCATGGACTTTTTGTCTTAACATTGGCTTTTTGAAACATTGCACGAAAATATTGACTTTTGATGACTTTTTCGGTGCCCTCTTAAATTTTTGCCTCATTCAGCTCATACTGATCCTAGCCCTGGTGAAGGATCATGACACCCGCAACTTACAAATTAGTTCATTTTTTAAATATGTCAATGTATTGATTATATATGGGTTTACATATGTAAATATATTAATATTTATGTATGTGTGTACATGCATACATACATATACATATATGTATGCATACGAGGGAATGTATGTATGTTTGTGTGTAGGTGTGCATCCATACACATGTACATAGAGGCAAATGTGGCAAAATGTTAACAATTGGTAAATTGAGGCAACAGATGTACAGATATTGTATTATTCTTGCAATTTTTCTGTAAAGTGGAAACTTTTCAAGATATAATAATGGTGGGGGAAGAAAATTAATAAGTGGAAATAAAAACATGGTATACCTTTTTTTCACAAGCTAAATTTGTTAAAAATAAGAAGCTGCTATTCCAACTAAGATCTGTGTGTTTGTTCTGGTACAGACTTTGCTAAGGGAAAGAGATGATACATTCCCCATGCAAATGGAATATATCCATGCAAGGGCAGACCCCTGTAGTGATTGGCAATGGGAGAAAACGTGAGGTCCTCCAGTGTGGAGAGCATTTTCCCCTGACAAGCTGTGGTTATTCAGCTATTCATCTCTCACCAAGGCAGCTTCAGGCGATGTCTCTGAAGCGTCAGCTATTCTCTTTGTGTTCAGTGCATAAAATCTTCCCAGCAATGAGCATTGTAACTGAAAAAAGAATCAGCTACAAACCTCATGTGTATTTGCCATGGCAATATTAGAAATAGCAGGGAGGAGAATTACTTGGGGAGAAGAATATAATGTGAACAAAAACTTAGAGATGTTGAATGACATACCCAAACATTTAAATGATTCAAGGGATTTTAAAAGTATTGAGGCTTAAATCTTCGAGCGACACAGCAAGCTTATTTTTTTTTAAATAATAGGTCAAGGCAGATGATGGATTGATATACTCAGATAAATGATAGATTAATAAGTGGTAAATCGATATATTAGGTATCTACATAGACAGAGTCAGATGGTATATACATAGGTTATACTGGGTATTTATTTGGTTATGAAAAGATTTTTCCCTTAAAATGATTAATTGTGTATATACTCTAAATTATTTTAAACTATTATTTTAAATAGGCTTTTTATATGTAAATCCCACATCTGGTAATCTTCTCAGAAATACTTAGCATTTTTAAAGATTTATTTTAAAAACTCGAAGTTCACGCCAATGTTATCTATAATAGCAAGAAATTAGAAATAATCTAAGTACCCAACAATATGGAAATAGTTCAGGAATATTATACAACCATTTAAAAGGATACTTGCAAAGAGTTTGAAACTTAAAAAATCATTACAGTATGGTTTGTGGGAAAAGCAGGAATCACAAATAGTTTTAAAATAGGATATT